TTTCCAGCAGAAGTGTCGATCCACCTACCGGCCGATAGGGGCATCAGGCACAAGATTGACCTGGAGCATGGCACCAAGTATTGTGTGACTAGGCAATGGACGTTGACGAAGGAACAAATCGATTACATCGATAAGTTCTTCGACAAGCGAGCCAAGGAGAGACATGTACGTGAGAGAAAGTCGCCTCACTGCAGCCCGACCTTCTGTGTGCCTAAAGCAACAGATGGATGGAGCGTGGTTCATGCTTGTAATAAGCTGAACACAGCCACCATTCCGACGCAAACGCCGATCCCGCGGAAAGATCTCTTGTTGAACTCCATGGGAAAGTCAACTATCTTTTTCGCGTTATTCTAAAGGATGGCTACTATCAGGTTCTCATGAGAGATACCGATGTAGCCAAAACGGCAGTAAGCACCCCAAGCAGTATGCTGTGAGAGTGGCTTGTGATGCCACAAGGGTTGAAACATGCTCTAGCAAAATTCAATCCAGTGGTAGCTCACGTGATGCGTCAGCACCGTGCCTACGCGCCCCATGTGTTTTGACAATTTATTCTTGCATAGTAGGGCGGAAAACGCTTTGAGCGCGGCAGCACACCTCTCGCCTAAAATGGCGAGATGGCTAACATTCTTCTCTGAATTTTATTTCAAAATTGAATATAAGCCGGGTAAGTCGAATGTCTTGGCTGACGCGTTATCGCGCACACCAGACCGAGGCAAGACACCAGGATAGTGTTTCTCGTAGACAATCTTCAATAAGCTTGCGACGCTCAGGCAGACAACTGGAAGGCAATGATGGCCTTAGTCCTTTATGGGCTACTCGCATGAGTACCTTTAATCCTGTCTCCTCTTGGTCGTGGTATGGAGTATGTCGTGTCTCAAGCTCTGTGAGCACGATACCGAATGAATAGACATCAGCCTCTGGACCATATGCGAAAGCACAAGTTGAGTCGTCAACATTGGCATCCATGAAGGCCTACCATGTGACGAGCTCAATGGCCTCCGATATCAAGGAGTGTTACAGTCAGGACGAGCATTGTCGCCTGCTGTTGGATCATTTTGTTGGACGAAAGGTTACCCTTCCTTCGCACCTCAAAGCGAAACTAAATCGCTTTAGTTACAGTGATGGCCTGTTATGGCATCAACTGTCACCCTGTGATCCCTTGAGAATATATGTCCCTGATGACACAGATCTAAAGCTGATGATGCTTCACGAGTGCCATGATGCGCCATCTAGTGGGCATCTGGGCCGTGAAAAGACATTCTTACGAGTGTCAGAGGAATGTTGGTGGACCCACCTATATCGGTGGGTGGCCAACTATATTCGCTCTTGCGAAGAGTGTCAGCGCATAAAGCCTGCACCTTCGAACAGTGCGCCACTGAAGCCACTAACGATTCCAACTGAATGTTGGAAGTCGGTCAGTTTGGACTTCATGTTTGGCTTACCGCCTGACCATAAAGGCAGGTCGGGGCTCGTCGTCTTTGTATAGAGACTGAGCAAGATGGTGCATTTGGCACCATGTATCACCAAGATCTCAGGAAAAGAGGCTGCCCTCTTGTTTCTGGATCACGTGTATCGACTACACGGGATATCCGAGTCCATAGTATCGGACAGGGATCCGCGTTTTACGTCGGGTTTTTGGCGACATGTGTTCGAGCTGCTGGGTAGCAAGCTCCACATGTCAACCGCTGATCATCCCCAGACCGATGGCCAAACAGAACGGGCCAATCGAGTCGTGGCGGATGTGTTGCGTACAATAGCGACCCCTAAAGAATGGAGCAAGCAATTGCCATTCGCGGAGTTCGCTATTAATAACAGTGTTCACGCAGTACGGGTGAAACACCGTTTTACATTAACGGACTGCGTCATCCTCGAACGCCAGTCTCGTTTGTACGCAGCCCGAGTCTTAGTTGGGGAGGGGCCCTCACTTTGCTCGGTGCGAATGCCAAAAGGGCCAAGGTTGCCCTAGTGACACTGCTAGCTAGCAGTAGTCACGACACCTATAGGTGTCACAAAGGAGGCACGGCAAGAAATGTCAGTGCTCCTTGACGATGACACTATAGTGTTATCAACAGCGTCGACCCATGAACGACCTCTTGGAGGCGTCATCGGCGAACTGGATTCTAAAATCGTGAGTGAAGCTGAGCGCTTTGTGGATGAGCGATTAGCCATCACACGTAAAGTCCGTGACGCGATGGCAAGCGCACAGGACAAGCAAAAACAATATGCAGACCAGCATGGTCGCAAAAACAATGAACACTTTAGTGTGGGGGACAAAGTGCTATTAAGTAGTGCTACCCTACCTAAACATGCAATTTATGTACTACCTGGTGGTACTACTATGCTATTGCCCCGGTTCATTGGGCCCTTTACAGTGGTTGAAGAAGTTGGAGACCTAAATTATAGGCTCACTCTCCCACCGTATATGAAGACGCACCCCGTATATTACGTGGGTCGTCTGAAACGGTATGTTGATCCAGAAGAGATCACATATCCGCATCGGTCTAACGAGACCGATGGAGGTGGTGCACGAGACAGAGCCAAGCTGAAGGGTAAAAAGAGGAGTGCGACGCACGACGGTCATCACGGCAATAAGCATGTTTTGGACCGTATGCAAGGGTATTAGTTTGCACACTAGTAGGTTTTCACATCTTGATTACCTGCCCATTTGATGTAAGGGGAGGTTAAGTGTCACAAAAACATATTTTCGACTGTGAGTCGAGCGTCGCGACCGATCAGGCGACGAGGAAGCCGAGAGGCTCCCCGTGTATGAACGAGGCGATAAAGGACTCGGCGATCGAGGAGGACTCCGCGCTTGACGCGGGTCTCTCATCACCAGTCGCTCGTGTATGTCCAAAGGGGTCTTCAGGCGGTCGTACCCCTGACGATCCCTCGTCCTCACATCGCGCAGATCCGAAGTCAGTCGCGAGACTTGGCTCTCAAGATCTGCCACCTGCCTCTTCAGCGCAGCGATATCCGCCTGCGACTGAACAGCAGCAGGGTAGGCAGCCGCGAATAGTTGGGCGCATTCGCTGCTCCTTCAGTCCATTCATGAACGTAGACACCTCTATGTATTCCAGTATCTGAACCACAGTAATGAAAGCCTACAGCGAACGCATCTCCTGCACATACTCTCGCAGAGATCGTTTCACTTGTCGTGCTTTTAAAGAAGCGCGCCTAAAGGAACACTTCATTGTTAGGCGGCTGGTACATGGCGCGAATATTTGACTCAAAGATCGCCCGTGACGGAAACGCATCGGCGTTTGCCATAAGCTCAGAGTAAGCCTGCTCTGACGCTTTGCCACGGAAATTTGACATGGCATACGACACCATCTTGGTGTCGTCTTCGATGAGCTTCGCCATATCGCATTTCTCCACTGCTAAAAGACAGTGGTCAATCGTATGCGGGGCATTCCCATCAAACTTCGGAGGGTCCATCCGAATGTGCCTTGGCTGATTAGATCGGGCCGAGAGCGTCTCAACAGTTCTTTTGAGCGCCTCATTACGTGCCTGCTCACGCAAAACCTTATACTGAGGCTTAGTGATGGACTCAGCAGTGGCTTGGCTGTTTGCCTCGGACGCGTTTCTACGCTGTCCGAGCACAAACGCTTTAGCTGAGCAACCAAAGGACAGACCAAGAGGTTGGCCAGGGCTTATTCACCATGTCGCTGCACTAAATGTTCAGCCAGCGTCCCTATGATGTTGGGATAGGTGGGAATTGGAGGCAACCATATTGAGGCCCATCCATACTCACACGCACGCTCAGAGAGACATGTCGTGGAAAGTAAGACTAGGCTACCAAGTTTAAACGGGATCTTCTAGGAAGCTACCACGTGATAATTTGGCACACACCTTCAAGCAGCGTGAGGAAACAGTTAAACAGTCTTACCTGGTGATGGTGTTGGTCGGCGCTGAAGCGCTGTACCAACCTTTTCCGGTTCCTTAAGTGAACCGCGCAGCAAACTTTTAACAAGTGTTACATTTACGACACGCAGAAGCTTATTAAGCTTCTCGTGCGTACCGACAGATAGTAATAAAATTCAGAACTAGCTTATATTAATAGAAACTAACTAAAAATAAATGTAACTACTGACTGTTTTTAAATGTAAAGATCGGATACGCGTCTCTCTAGAAGCGTATCTCTACGTGCGAGCTTAACAATATTCAATTTAGCTTAATAATATTTATTTTAGCGGATGACGTCCATCTTAGACTTCATCATAACGCCTAGTTCCAAAGGGCGTCATTTCCGTTAAATGTGATTCAATTCATGGATATCACATTCACGAGGGTGGGTGCTTCACCCATGTAAGAGGTCTAAGGTACCACGTACCCTTTTAGACCTCTCCGTTAAGCATCATATACTTAACGGACTCATGTAACTATTGGCCCAATGCACCATCCCCCTCTTTAGAACGATATTTACATGTTGTAAAATATCGCAAACTAAAGATATGCCACCGAATCGTTGTTGGGCTGATGGGTCACCAGCAAAGGCTATCACGCAGACCACCTTTCAGCCACAATCTGATTAATGGCGCAACGACACAGCTACTTTCGTCCTAGACTTGTGTAACTATTGCCTGATACAAATAACATAGCTATTTATTGTTTACTTTTGGTGAAGTATGATTTCGTCTCCATCAATGAAGCTCATGTTGAAATGTCTTTTTCCTTTCTTTTACGATATACTCGAATTAGCGCCGTCTAGAATATATTTATATTAGTGATATCTTTCATTTGCGACCAACGTCTGATACGTTTACGCAGTCGTAACTGTAATCTGCTAAGGGCAATACAACAATAGGCATGACGATACTTGCGCACACTACTTTGCAGGTATTGCTCGTTATCGATGAGAAATATCCCACAAATACCGTAGCACAATTAGAATTGACAAATTACCATACACAAGAAATTTTTGGAAGAGTTTATATATAATGCAATATCGTTTTAAGAGGTCCACCAACCACTCTTCTTTAGACTCGTCAAAGAGCAGATGGTTATAGATTTGCACGTTGTTCCATAAGGGTAGCCCAGTAGTTGATGTATCCATCCTCCACCTTCTTAATAACATCTTCAGGGACATCAGCACTTGAAAGCTTGCCTTTGAGAGTATCCGGAGGAATTCCATCTTTCATCCATAACCTGAATTGTGCGTTAAGCATACGCTCCGCCCGCGTTACTACGGAGCTCTCCTCGTTCGTCGTAGCGATCATCTCTACAGTTTTTGCCTCGCCGAACATCTCCTTGAGCTGAGTTAAATCTTTCCAATTTGAACCATCTCTCCAATTTTTTCTTGTGGGATCGAAAAAGGCCAAAAAATTTTCATGAGTCTTTAGGAGCGGCTTTTGCGTGCGGTTACTATCGATTTTAAGCCATGACAGCGTTTCTGTTAACGCCTTGGGTTCTGCAGTGAGTTGACTCTCTAGCAGCCGCATTAGTAGCAGTTTTGGAGCGAGATGTGTCTCACGGCCAGCGTTTATGTCGTTGACTAAATACTTCACCAAATCGTTCGTATTAAATTTACTTGACAATGTCGAGTACAAGGTCGGCAACACGCTTGAGGTCTCCTTATCCGATGTCGTTGACTTAATGAAATCAATCAATCTGTAAAAGAGTGGGTTTTGAAATAGCTTCTCGTTTGATGTGCCAAGTTGTAAAACGTCGAAGACATCTGCCGCAGACTTCCCTTGCGAGTGCCAATACCGCAACTGGGCAGCTTGTAGATTTTTAGCGAAGGCTGTCATTTCCTTGATCTTTGCTTCTGCATCGAGCAATCTGGCCAGTTTATAGTCATTGCCGGGATTCAGAAACAACTTGATCAAACTGTTATATACGACTTCTTTTTGTTCCAAGTTTGTGACGCCCTCGACCCTTTGCGAAATGCCTCCCATTATTTTTCCAACTGCCTCATGTGCATTGCCAGCGTATAAATCTGACAATTTTTGTAGGGCAGCAGCTTCACTTTGTGATAATTCCACTGCCACAGGTTGTCCCATGACTTTAAGAGGTAGCATTCTCTCTTCAAAATTATAGGTGTGGTCGCTCTTTGCCGCGTGAAGCCTCAAGTTTCGATTAGCTTGGACCGGCGTATGCGCCGCCTTCAGCGCGCGGGAGCTTTGCATGACATCCTGTGATATCCATGCTGAGGTGGCCACTCTCGAAGCTACACACGCCAGCAGTGCAATAGCAGTTAACACCTTCGCGTAAGAAGACCGAGAAACATCCGTCAAGCCGATCACAGTCGCAGCTTGCTTTTTCTTCCTGTCCACCACAAACTCTGTCGCACCCGAGTCAGCCATTTTCTGCTCCTTTTTCGTCAAACTAAAGAACGCCATTACAGCGTCAACACCCATGGCATGGGCAAATTTGTGGCCAAGACCATTGACGTCCTCGACACCCACACGCTTATCAGGCTTCACACGATTCTCTTCTAGCGATATGAGCACAGTGGTATCAGCACACAGCAGCAGCGCAGCACCGTCGGATGGAATATTGTCCAGGATCTTGAAAGCGTCCTCGTGGGCTACACGCACGTAGTCGGGATGACCTCTATCTGACGTCGCTCCGTTCTTCTTGTACTTGTCGTTGTAGGTCAAGACCCTGTGCGTGCAGTACGCGTCATCGCCACTCAAACATTCGTTGCATGGAACCGAGGGGTCCTTCTTCAGACAAGACCACGCTAGATCGCCGACACCGACACCGACACCCACACGGTCACCGACCTTAACATCGGGGCCAGCCAACGTCACCTCACTGACAATCTCGTGACCCACCACACACGGACACGTCCAAATATCCCCATCGCTCTCAATAGTGTGCAGGTCGAAGCCGCAGATACCGCAGTGCAAGTTCTTCATTTTTATGTTAATGGTACCATCGGCTGCAGACATCTTTGACTTGAGTAGTGAGTTGAGCGCAAATTGAGAAATGGTGTGATCTGGCAACGGCGTTTAGTTGGAGCTCGGCTGGAATCGGTTTGGTACTACAACAATGCTCCCATCCGATCGGACCAATAATAAAATTTTGGATCTGATCGGATGGTTCTACAAGAATCTCTTGACTGGCACGACACGATCCGATGCAAATCTACGCTTGAATTGCAAAAGAATTCGTAGGCAGTCCACTCCTAAGTATTCAAAAGTCACCTCTAGCTCGATGCTAAGATTCATGTCTACATAAAAGCTCTTACTCACTGAAATCTCAATTGTCACATGCCAGGGTTTCGTATGGGATTCTAGGATTGACACCTTCGCATTTTCTCGCGAAGGTCGCAAAAAACCTGAATATCGATCGCAAAAGAGCGCTTACGACCATGCTGGTCGTAGCAGGACATGCGCTTGAAACTACATCGCAAACGCATCCGCCAAGCACGAATCTTACCAGACACACACTTTTTCCGTATCGAGAATATTACACACAGCATTCTTACCCTTCTTCTTTTGCTATCTTTGGCCGACTGTCTTTGCACGATGGTGTGCCAATCTGTAGGCAGCCGCATCGTCTATGTCAGTCACCATCTCCAAGACGACGAAAGATCACCATCTCCTTTCCCGCTTTCGATGCAAAAAACCCACCGGCCAGGTCTGCGAAAAGAGTGATGGTGTCAATGATGTGTTAAGAAATCCGTCTTCGAGGTGACATCGGTCCAATGACGTCATCCATGGCGCGTAAGTAGCTCGGCCTCGCAGAGAAGTACGTCAAGGCTTTAGGCGTGGATGTGCCGGACTTTATAAAACAAAAGGTCCACGGCATAGGTGTCAACATGCAGAGCTAGCGCCTGAGTGCGAGGCGGATGTGACCTGCGAAGCTCTCGGCGACAACAGCATGTGCGCAATTTGTGTCGGCTAGCTTTGATTATCGTATCTCGACGCGGTTCGTCAATTCCACGCTTGGGCTCTGGTCGCAATCCTAAAAGCTGAGCGGAATTGTCTCGATGACGCAAAGGCGTGACATTCCAGCCTTGATGACCGAGAGACTGAGGTCACAAATGCTTACGACGGCGCTGGCTTTTGAAGTGTTCTTACTAGTGCTCGATTTAATGGTGGTCGCGATGGTTGACTGTTTTGGCGCGCAAGTCAGCATGTACTTGGTACAACAACGTGTACGCTTCGTTTTGTAGCTGATGTCACAGAAGTGTACGAGCGTCTCGTGTCCGGAAAGCAGATGCCTTAGAGACCCTCAACGATGTGCTTTCCAACCATTATACCAATGAGTATTTCACTGGAGGAGGTCATCCCGTTTGTGTGCGATGCCGTAGCCAATGCTCAGATCATTGACTTGCATACGCACATGTCTCTAAGGGATCATGGCGTGGCGCAACAAAGAGCTGTTTACTTCCCTCTACCTCGTGGCCGAGTTCCCGCAGACCTCGTCCATACAGTGGAAGAGCTAAACTTTATTCGAAGGAAAAGCAGGCAGGTCTTATCTGGAAGCACCTGTAGATCGACCGCTCGCCGGCGTTGGATGCTTGTCGTGGTGTGCTGACGACGGCCACTTACTGGCCCGAACAACCTCGTGTCGAAGCGTCACCTTCCTTCTATACGAGGATGGCTCAAGCGTTAAGACGTCAAACGTGGAGAAGTGTACCGACTAATGGGTCATCAGTACTAGATGATGACCAACGTTCTGTTTCCAAGTTGGAGGAGGCTCGCCTTTTGCTGGGCGACACGACCACCACGACACCTCTGCGTGCGTGACGATATGCCAAAACTTCTCGACAGGCAAGCACGAGTTCGATGACGACGAAATTGGCTCACAAAGCAATACTGTTTACTCTAAAAGAGTCCTTCCATTCTTTCATTGCCGCTGCCAGCATCTTGACGAGCTAAATTCCACACTTGCGGCCGAATTCAATGCCGCTGCGGAGGTATGGACCAATATTTTGTGGGTTATATGAGGTTTTAAGTAGACCAGGATGTTGTGGATAGGCTGCTTAGTTCTCGTACGGCCTTAAAAGTGCCAATGAAACGCTGCATCGTGTAGGTGAGTCGCGTCTATCGTAATTTATGCGGCGGTCATATACGACAGTGCTTACTATCAGTACCTGAATGGCATTGGTGAGATCATAGGCAGTGTGTCGGCATACAGTTTGAACAGTAACTAGCTGCGTTTCCTGTGGCTCGCCCTATTGCTTACACGGTGATTTAGCATTTGCGTGAGCTATAAGATATGAGCATGCCACTGGGTGGAGAAGGCACGCTAAGAAAACTTGTATGGTTATGCTCAGAACATTCAGAGGCATTTCGCCTTCAAAGAGGGCTAAGTAAGAGGTTTACCACGTGTACTTCCCTGTTTTCTGCTGAGTGCTGCCACGACTCTCCGACGCCTTTGTCATTACTCGAAATTCAATATTAAAGCAGTGATCAAGTACACGACGACCTGGATGATAATGAAATTCTTCATAGGCGACTAGCATACTCCACATGTCACTGGAATCTCTGTACAAAAGCTGCCTGTTTGGCACACATAAAAGCTTGCCTTTATAGCCATATACTTACCGACATTCTCTAAGCTGGACAGTGCATCATAACCCCGCCAGTATATCGTATAAGTGCAGTTGACACGTTACTTTATAGCAGACAAGACATTCAATTGCAGAATTACTGAAGGAATGACGAGACTGAGTGCAAACAATATATTACTTTCATCAATTATGAAAATCGCTTCATGTCTAGTTCGCCGACATTCTCCGTTTGTATACTCGTGATAAAAAATCGACAATACCCGCAAACGTATCGCGGCCATCGAATGCCAAATCGCCTGAATTTCATGACGAGCTGGCTATCGTGCCGCCTATCGACACTGTTAGAAAATACAAGTTGCACTTGGTATAGACTCCAGAGCTTCAATTTACGCTAGGATATATGAAATGTTGTAGAGGCTTCTAGATGCTTTAAGAATGTGATAGATCCTAGATAAGAAGATATGCGGGCGGTTCTCACTTGTAAATTGACAAAGCCAACATTGAGGCCCCTGCGGGGGCCGAAACGCGTCTGGCACGCGTTAGTATACGTGTCATTCATGTTAACTATATTCTTACTTTTGTAACAGATACTTTTAACATGGATGCATCCGAAAATACTGCAACACATGACTTAAACGAGACATTAAAACAATCTAACGATATGTGACTCTCTGACACCTTCATATTAATTTGTAGAGTTAAAGCTTATAACGTCCAACACGACTATAATACTTACAAGTGAATATTTCTTATAAACAAGTGCCAAAACGAAATTAGTCAATTTAAACGTTGACCTTCCTACTTTAATGTTGTTCCAGCTAAGCAGGATTCTCAACCTATTAAACAAAATTGTAACGGAGTTACATGACGGTTAGAACATCATTCCGAAAGTTTACGGTTGAAGTTTTTCTTTATTGCATATAATGCATTCTAGATACTTCTCTTTAGAGAGGTATTAAGTATGAGCGTAAAGATACCCTTTTCCTATCGATCAGGATTCGATAAATCGATAACGCTGTACTAAGTACATCATACACAGATGTTTAGACGATACATCTTTCAATAGCAAAGTCAGCATATTATAATTACTATTATAGCAATTAATCTAGTGTAGGGTACTTAAAGTAGGACTATTCATAAAATCTTAATGCATAAAAAAATCAGTTCTCATTTTGAGTTTAAGATCACAAGTCTTAATAACACTTGTTCTCTTGTGCACTTCGTGCGTTGGTTCTCTGAACCTCAAAGCTTCTAGCTTGTTCTTGCACTCTGTGCGTTGGTTCTCTGAACCTTAAGATATCGCTTGTAGACTAGAAGTCCCTCCTAGTTCCTTAAAACAGAGTGATTTCTTGGTCGTTTATTTAGTTCTATAGAAGTAAGAGGATTTCAGCCTAAAAAGTCTTCCTCTGGTTAAAGAGCTGTGTGGATTCGCTTTTCCTGGTAGCACTTGTTGTCAATATTACACCTGAGTCTTTAAGACTGACCCTCTGTGAGGATGATGTGTCAAAATCTTCTCTCTGAGGCGCAACGACTCGCACTAGATATATTATCTGCGTTTGTTTGGCCCGGTCAAATCAAGTTTCTTTTGGCCCAAGTCCCGGAGGTCCTCAATGCTCGCATTAAGGCCTTCATGCATTATGAGACAACTCTTCTCGGGCAGGTTCACGACCAGGCAGCGTCAGCTGCGCCTAATCATTATATCCCGGTACCTGTGCCCGATGCAGAGCCAAAGGCTCGCCCACTCGTTTTAAACGTGAAGAACTTTGAGGGGAAGGAGAAAGAAAATCTTCTTCTCTGGATCCGAGAAGTTGAAATGGCAATGGGTGCCGCCATGCTTGTGTCAGATAAGCAACGAGTTGGCTTGGCCATTTCTAATCTCGGTGGAAGAGCTAGAGAATGGCTCTAGCGAGCGATGTCTCTGTAAACGCCGCACTTACCACATGGCAAATGCTTAAAAAGCAATTAACTTGTGTGTTTGCACCGCCTAATCAGGCTTATCGTATGCGATCACGCTTTTTAGCTCACCCGACAGTGTAAGAAAGAATTGTCGGACTATGTCCAAGAGTTAAGAACTCTCATTGCTGCTATGCAGCAGGACCCACTAGCAGAGGAAGTCCGAGTAACCATTTTTATGGAAGGACTTCGCAATGGGGTCGCCAGGACGGAAGTTTTTCGTTCCAGCCTTCGAAGTTCGAGGAGGCAGTAAGCATAGCGTTTAATGCAAAATTATATTTAAATCTGCTCGATATGGTCTGCCCTGGTATCAATCAAATACCTCTTAACAGGGCGGAACCCATGGATTCAGTCAAGCTGAAGAAGCTGAGCTTCAAGCTGTTGAGCAGCAAGGTAACATCCGTGGATGTTACATGTGCGGAAGCACTTGGCATATCCTCCCTAACTGTCCGATGCGAAAGCAACGTCAGAATCGGCATATCCGTAAGCCTACTTTTAGCCAAAAGGCGAGCACGACAGGGGAAAAGTCAGCTCCCAGTAGGACGCCCCGCGCCGTGCTGAAAAAGAAATATATTCTGCTGAACCTCTAGGAGGTAGAGGTAAACAGGGCTTAGCCCCAGGTGGTTCTGTGGATGCTCCCATAGAACAAAATTACAAGCCAGGCTTGTTGGTTGTGTCGGCAACCGTTAAGGGTTTTGAGAAACCATGGTCAATTTTAATTGACTCAGGGGCGTCGGGTAATTGTGTCCGACGTCGTTCCCTTGATGAGTGTCAGCTGTATGCTGAGGCGCTAGAAGCGCAAGAGGGTGACAGTATAACCGTTCTTCTTGCGACAGGTGTACGTGTCACCGTTCCTAAAGTTCCGTTGAGCTTAGGTGTGAAGGTTTTAGACTTCAATAGCGTTTAACGCTGCCTTGTCCTAGATTTGGACTCGAGATATGATCTCATTCTCGGTATGGCTTGGCTGAAAAGCCATGAGCCGTGGATCGATTGGAGATCCGAAACTTTAGGCGCAACGCGCAATATTCCTAGCGAAGCTTTGGAGAGTCATGAACCCACCTTCGCTAGGAAACAAAAGTGCTATTGGCGCGAGCCATTAACTGAGTCATTTAGTGTGCTGGACATTGGAGTATCTGAGTTGACAAACTCCGATGTCAACAATAATAGTGTCGAGCAGAGCTCAGTGACACCTAGTGGAGCAGCACGTACTACTTTGAGTGATACTCATAGCGATATTGAGTCACTGGATGTCGGTATTGATATCGGCTTTTGTATAAGAAAAGCTTAAGTCGAAGACGTTTTTAGTGATGTCACCTGTGACAATGACTCACTGGATGTTGGTAATGACATCTGCTCTCGTGTAGAGCTGATTAAGGTCAAGGAATTGATCGACCTTGAGAATGATGACATCCCAAGTATTTCAAAAGGTACGGTCTCGTCAATATGGCGGCAGCGTCGCCAGATGGCGGATGCAAGACGCAAGGCGTCTGTCTTATCACGTAGTGATTTCAGTGAATAGCGCACACCTAGGTTATCGGAGTGATAGGTGATGTAGATGGTGAAATTGACCTCGAGGCCCTCAAATCATTAATTGATCTCTCACCGCTTCATCGTTCCATTCAAGATTCTGAAGGCAATCGGCGACGCTAACACAATCGATGTTCCCTCTTCATTGCGACTCCACCCGAAGTTCTACGTTGGGTGGCTAAAAGAATATCGACCGGCTACGCTTCACGGGTTGATTCCAATGCCAGATTCAGGGTTCCGTAGGTCGATCGGCCTTCCCGTCGTGCTCGACGCGCCGATTAAATCGAGCGCGGTTGTGTTGCCGTCTGTGCACGACCAACCACCCGGCACTTCAGAACCCTTACCCGTTCTAGCAGTTCACGGTTAGACTGCCGGGTCTCACACGCAGTCTTCTCCGCTTGAACAAAACGATCACTGGCAGCCTCAGCCTCCAGCTGATCACTGGCAGCTTTGTTCAAGGCCTGATTAACATCGTCCTGGGCAACCAGGACGCCAGCATTATCATTGCGAGGGACCACCGCTTATGATTGCGTAAGGACTGGTACGCTGAATTGCGGATCGTATCGTGGCTCACGAGGTCCCTCCTCGAGCAGTGTTACAGTCGGCTCAAGAGAAGCATGCGATTTTATCCGCGCGCGAGTACCGTATACGCTGGCTTGGTTTCTCACCCAAGCAGGATACATGGGATCCACGTTCCTCTCTTCTTCTTCACTCTATGGATTTCGTTTGGTCATACTAGTCCATGGTGTCGGG